TAATGTATATAAGTCAAGTCAAAAGTATTACCATATTTATTATCAACAGATAATTTTTCATTTTTGTGCCTACCAAATGTTTTATTTGTTTTATCAGATATGTTTCTTCATATAAGAAAACTTCTCCTTGGGGCCAGCAGGTGACATGGTGGTTAAGGCCCTGGACTCCCATACAGGTGACAATGGTTCAAGTCCTAGACCAGGCAGATTGTTCTCTCACTTTCTCTCTCTTTCGCTTTCTCTGGTGAGTGCACATGCCCTATTGCAAATTTTAAAAATAATAATAATGATGATAATAATAAATAAAATTAAATAAATAATTCGCCTGAAAATTAAGGAAAGAATGCTTTTCCTTTAAGTCATAGAAGAGTTCTGGTAGTCAGCCCTTAGAGCAGTAAATGTAATCTTAGCATATTACTTCCTCTTTCTGCTCAATACAGTTACCTCCTCCTGCAGCATCATCTTCAGCTTTGGCCTTTGCTTCTATTTTTAATAAGAAAACAAGACAACCAGATAGGACCCACCTACCAGCATCTGTATCCCATGTTCTGTGCCTTCACAACTAGTACAATGGAAGGATATGTCTACAGAGGCCAACTCTCCTCTTTCATACTAAAACTCATCCTCTCTTTCCTATTCGTTACATTTCTCAACAATTTTCTCATCTCTCTCACATCATTCAACTTCCTCTCTCTGCTGGATCTTTCCCATCAAAGAAAATACATGCTAACTCCACAACTCTCATATTGACAAAACAGCCTCTCCTGACCCTACTTTCACTCCAGTTGTCTTCTTTATCTCCTTCCCTTTAAGTTAAATTCACCAAAGGAGTTGTATCTGTATTTATTACTCAAGTACTCTCTTTCCATTTTACCTCAATCCAATCCAAATAGGCTTGATCTTCCACCACTGTGTGAATAAAGTTCTTGTCAAGAGCCTTCTCACTCCTAAACTCAGTGTCCAATTTTCAGTCCTTATTTATCTTGAATTCTCAGTAGCACTGGATATAGTAGATGATTCTCTTCCTTAAAACATTTTTTCTGCAGTATTTCTTGATTTTCTCCTATCTTGTTAGATACTTCCTTAGTCTCTTTTGCTGATTACCCCAACAACTTAGTGTCAGAGAGATCCAAGTCTCAATTTTTTTATCTATAATCTTCATTTCAGTGCATTTCATTCAGTCAGTGACTTTAAAACCCCCTATTTATATTTCTACTTTCCACATGATATCTCCACTTACATTTTCATTGGACACCTCAATTTAACTTGTTCAAAACTGAACTCACAGTCTCCCCCACAATCTGTCCTTTCCTATTTCAAACATCAGTTAATGGTATGACTATCCATACAGTTTCTCAGAATAAAACCCTTGACTCATCCTTTACTCTTCTCATCATCCAAGCTGTCAGCAAATACTTTTGGTGCTATTTTAAGGATGCACCCTGAATACACTCTAACTCTACCATACAACCCTCACTCAAGCTACTATCATTCCTTTAGTCTTTTTAATCCATTATTACACTGGCCTCCTAACTGCCTGCTCTGCTTCCCCTCTTCCACCTACACTCTATTCTCAACACAGCCGCCAGAATGACCATATCAAATGTATCACATCTTATCAGTCTGTACACAATTCCCCATGGGCTTCTCCTTTGTCTTAAAGTAAACCTTTTAAGACCCTACAAGAACTTGAACATATTTTTTAGTACTAACTCCCTGCTAAAACATGCTGGGCATGTGCTTGTCTCAGAACATTTACAGTGAATTTTTCTTGTGCCTGGATAATTCTGCCTCTAAATGCCCCTATGGCTTGTTGTCCACATCCTGGAAGTCTTTGCTTAAAAGTTTCTTTGTCAGAGAAGCCTTCCTTTGTAAACCTATTTAACATTGCAGCTCTGCTCATCTGAAAAGCTCTATCTACTTTTTTTGTGTCACATTTCCTCCCATCTGTAATTTAATATGTTTGTTTAGCTAAATTATGCATATACTGCCTTAATGGTTTATAAAATATAACACCATTGTTTCTCCAAAGCCAAAGTTCATAAAAAAAAACTAGATACTATATGAAAATTCTCTTTCATAACTCTTAGAATAAACTGCACCTTTGAGCTGGGCAATGCACAACTGTTAAGTTTTAGATTTTTGTTTGTTTTCACTAGTTCTGTATAGTAAAATCAGTGATTGAAATTTTACTATTTTTTTTCTTCATGTATTTTTTCATTTCTTTTCTCCATTTTGTGCAAGAGGTCTGGTCCAAATAGCTCCTTTGCTTCTGAACACTTTACAATTCTAAGAATTATTCTAAATGATATTGTCATTAAAGAGATTATGCTAAAAATTCTGTAGTGGAAAGAAAAACACTTGAGAATCCACAAGGAATAGAATAGAGAGTCCACCATACTAAGAAGAAAGAAAAAATGTCTGCCAATTAGTAGAAAAACCAACTTCCTGCCAGATCTTGGGCAGTGGCAAAACCATAACCATAGAAAAGCTGGGGTGATGGGTTGAAGGCTAGTCTTTGACTTCTGGCTTCAGTAAAAATATCTTTTTTATTTCCCTTGACAGAAAACTTGGGAGGAGAAGGAAACCTTAATTCAAGAAATTAATATTCATTGGGACCAATAGTTGGTATAACAGCTATGTCGCTGGACTCCCATGTAGTCTACCATGGTTCAAGTCCTGTACCCGGTGGCTTAAACTCACATGGGCACATGTGTGTATGTGCCCAAGATACCGTGAGGAGAATGGAGGAGAAGGGATTGTGGTGTGGTGTGGCCTTCCCACCTGGGGGGTAATTTCTCACTTTCTGTCTCTCTGTCTCTTTCTGCCTTTCTGGAAAGCACATATGCCCTATAGCCAAAAAAAAAAAAAAAAAAAAAAAAAAAAAAAAAAAAAAAATCTCTAAACACAAA